ATAAAATACGCACCGCTCACACGCGATATTTCGCATTTGAGCTCGACCAGCATTAGCCAATGGATTCTTAGACCAGGTCGTATTATCTTTTGAAGTATAAATTTGATCCGGCCTTAAATTTTCCTTAGCTGCACTCAAAAGTTCAAAGTCGACCTTTCTGTGCATGTTTTTAAGTATTGATAAAAATAAATGGATTATTTTAATGTACCGAAAGCTTTTTTAGTTTTTTACGCAAAGGGGGGCGGAGTGGTCACTCCCATCGGCATAGCCAGAATGAAATTTAGGTGGCGGGACTCGGAAACTATTAAGCTAGCATTTCAGGGTACTATTTTCCCAATCCTTTTAGTCTTTAATTAAAACGCGCTTTTAATGTTTACGTTTCTAACTTTAAATGCTACGACTAGCTAAAGAACTTCGCTTGAAGGCGGTCAAATACAACCTGTCTTCTTGCGGTCCCTCGTTTGTCTAGTCAAGTCTATCATTGAGTACGTTCAGTGTGGTCGGTTCAATCCCTATCACAGGCAAACTTAATATTACCGGCGTGAGTTTTTCTACGCACGCAAGCAAGTTTTTCATATTTGAAATAGCACGAAATAAATTTGCGTGCGTGATTTTTCAGAGTTGCATTTCTGTCAAATTTCAGAAGTTGAGCAAAATTTGAGCATAAATGCAGAATAACGTTTTCGATTTTCAAATTAAAAAAAAACATATGGGGATCGATAGAGATCATTTAGGGGAGTATAACGGTATATTTCTCTTCTTGCAGAAACAACAACTACAAAAGTTATTAAGGGTCAGAGTCCAAATTAAACAATTTCTTAAATCAGAATTTCTTAAAAACGAATTTATAGATTTTAAAAGTTTTGGTCTCAATCGATAGGAAATTTAGTTCCCTTTAATTTTATATACATATATATTTATATATGCCTTGTTTAGTTTTCACAAAAATCTAACTAATGTACGCAGAAATGACTTCCGCTTCTCTTCTGCGGCAACACAGAAAGGAAAATTCTACTTAGGGAGGATTATATTTATATCAAATTAAAGGGAATAAAAAATTTTAAAATCCATTCGTTTTCATAAATTTTGGTTTAAAGAATTGTTTAATTTGAACTTTGATTCTTAATAACTTCTGTAGTTGTTGTTTCCTCAAAAAATAAATATACCGTTATGTTCAGCTCGATCATCTCTATCGACCCGAATGTTAATTTTATTTATTTGAAAATCGGAGCTATTCTGCATTTGTTCCAAAATTTTAATTCATAGTCGCGCCAAAATGTCAAATAAACACAAACGTCAAATCGAAATGTCACACAACACAAATCTTGGAATTTGAGTTAGCTTTTTACGCACGCCGGTCAATTTCGGTTGGTCCCATACAAGTTGTATGTGCATGAGAAATTTTTGACAGTAAACTGCCGGTAAACTTTCGTCGATGATACTTGTATGTTTGTATGTCGATGGCCGCGTACATCATTTCCCACATTCGGCCAGCCTGCGCGATCATTCGGTCTCGGATGATGGATTCCATTTCTTTAGGAATTTGGTTATGGTAATTGTGCGGCCTGGCCCTACGTGGTCGCCGATCTTCTCGGGGGCGTAGCGTCCGCGAAGTGTTTTGGGTTAAGCCTGAGTCCTGGTCCGTATTGCGTTCGCTTGATTGCTACTAGCTCGTCCATGGTGTATTCTTTTGCGGTTCGTCGATGTTCGTTAAACGTTCTGCGGTTTCCTTGCTGTATTTCGGCTATGTCGTGTGATTGGTGGCCCACTTCTTCCCTCTCTGCATCAAACTCGTCGATGTGCTCCTTCTGCAGAAGCTCTTGCTCCACCGGTGATACTGAGTATTCAGCTGGCTTGTAGGCTGCTACCGAGCTCTGTACCTTGTCCTTCTTCACATCTATCTCGCATTCTTTATTTTGCTTCGTTCCAGCTCTCACGCACACGTTTCCGGACTCTGCTTGCAGCCCGCTGATTTGACTTGGAGGTCTTCCATCGCGAAACTTCAAGCACTCCACACCTTGTTCGTACACACCCGTCTTGCTTTGCGTCGCATGCTCGAGTAGTGATCCTACGATACCACCACGCCTAACACTTGTACCATGTTCACAGACACCATCTCGAATCTCATCACGTCTACACTGAACCTCAGCCGCATCTGCCGGTCTAGCACTTCTCACCTTCCTCACAATATTCCTTATCAGATCGTAAATATTGCTCAAATCATCGGTGATCGAATTTTCAGGATTTGCGCTTGCGCAATTACTTGCCACTGCCTTGCGTTTTGCTGCACCATCTCCTGATTTCTCTTCGACTCGCCCAACCTCTACGCAATTACCAGCCTTCGACTTACGCACAAATAAGTTTCCTCCAATTGGTCAGCATTTGGGGGAATTTCCGGCCACTGTCTTCCGCTGCACCTTCACACGGATCTGCTCCGTCTCGTACCACACTATCGCAATTACCGGCCACTGCCTTGCGCTCGACGGCATCCTCGCATCCGCTGGACTTTCTCGTCTTCTCCTTAAAACGGCACAATCTTCCGTAACGATAAGGTCGTGTTTGAGGACATTGTTGCCTATCACTAGAGGGTAGCTCAAATCCCGCTTCCTTGCAACATTAAACGTGATGTCGAGCGAAATTCCGTCGATATGCATTGGGATGGTAAAGCTTCCCATTGTTGTCATTGCACTGTAACCGATGCCCACCAGTCGCCGCTTCTCCTTGCTGAGCTCTCTGTTTGTTGGAGCTCTCTCTCTCTCTCTCGTTGCCACATTGAAAACATCTGATCTTCTTGCGTGGCCAATTTCGAGCAATGTGAGACTTATCACCACAGAAGAAACACCCTTTGCTTGACGACTGTGAATTTTGTAAATCCCTGTTTGAAGACGTTGGCTTTACATACATAATTCCCACTCGTGGTATGTGGTTTGCTAGACCGGATCTTCTCGTACACCTTGATCTGTTCCTTCAGCTCCTTGATATTTCGCGCCTGATACAAGTTGCTCTTATTCGCGCGATTATCTGAAATCCCCTCGATCAAATACCCGATCAAGCTGGAATCATCGAGACTGACTGGATTGCTGATCTCCATCATTTCGTACAGGTATTCCCGCAGATCTTTTCCTGGTCGCTGGCGGCGCCTTCGAAGGCTGCGGTGTATTTCGGCCGACGACACAGTGACGCCAAACTATGAGCGCAGAGCGGATTTTAAAGAATCCCAACTGCTAACTCCAATTTGGCTTCTAATAAAAAGTTTTGCTCCACCCTTCAGCACTGCACAGCCATTGCTTTGGCCTCGAAATCCTCCAACCACTGATCGAAAGTCGGCTGACCAGACCCGCTAAATTTGCTCAACGTGTCCTCAATATCCCGAAGAGTGAATGCTGGACGCTCAGCCACGGACCCACGTACGCT